CCTGCCTATGACAGCCTAGTGGAGAGGCGGGCCTGGATGCAGCCGAACCTCTCACAGCCAGGCTTCTCCGACATAGCCACCTTCTGCACATAGCCGTTTGGAAGGGTTCCACGCCGCCTCTTTCATTTCCAGCAGTCCTGTTCTGTTCAGTTTGAATTTTCAACCTTTCCAGAAAGAGGAAAGCAAAAGTCTTTGCATAAATTCTTCTTCCTCCTCCAACTTCTTGCAGTCCACAGGGTCCTGAGTTCTGTGCATCTGTCAGATATAATTCCTCTGTTTGCCATCACAGCCAACCCATAGCAGGTAGACATATAAAATCCCTTCATCTTGCACCCAAGTGACAGCCCTGCCATGATGCTGTGTGCAGAGGTCTCTGGAGTTACAGATTAGAGCTACTCACTTCCACAGGGGATAGGGTCAAGGGTCATTACAGTTGAGACAGTGATCTTGCGAGGTAGAAAGTGGGTGAGGGGGTACACTCAGTAGGGAAAGGCTTGGTCTGTTCCTGACCCTTATAATACAGTGAGTGGCTCCTTGTGGTTACAGAGCATGGGAACATGCAGATGTATGCATGTGTTTGTGCATGCACACATGCATGGTCATGCCCATGTGTACATGCATGATTGTGTTCGTGAGTGAACACAGTACACACAGCTAGGGTGGGAGCTGATGAATTGGGATTTAGATGGCTCGAAGTCCCGGTTCTTTCTCCAGACCTCTCTTTATCAGACCCTTGAGGTTGGCTGACCTCTGGAGCAACACGTGGCTTTAAAATGTTTCAGCAGTAACTCCTCACACGTCACTGTGTATCCGAAAGTCAAGAGATGAAAGAGAATCCCTGTTAGGGGGCCAGTCCTTTGGGAAAGGAGGGTGAAGTGTGGATCCTGGGGAATATGTCAAGCAGAGCACAGGAATTAAAGCTGAGTTCTCACCGTCCGTGTGTGAAGCAAAGTCCCATCCCTGGCACCGCATAAACTGAGGGTGGTGAAGCTGGCCTGTGATTCTAGTCCTTGGGAGGCAGAAGCAGGAGATCAGGATTCCAAGGTCACCCCTCATCTACACAGCAAGTTGGAGCCCAGCACCAGCTACCTGAGATCTGTCCAAAAAAGAAATGCAGGATCACAGTCGGGCTGGGGTGTTAGAATTTGGTTTGTTCATGGGACTACTCTTTCAAATACTGTTTCCTAAACCTCAGCCTTCCTAATCTGGTCCGAGATGGAGCTTGGCACAGATCTGTGCAGAGTTCTCCTTAAACCAGGAGACAAAAAGTGAAAGGCTTGGATAGTTCAGAGGCCAAGCTATCACTCTAACCCTCTGTCCTCTGAAAGCCCTCCTGCTCCCCTAAGGAGTGAGAGAGTTCATCCGGGGCCTCAGAAGTAAAAGGAAATGATGGCTTACATTAACATCTGACTAGAAATGGCTGAAGCCCCATTTTAAGTACATCTGGTCCTCTGCCTTTATCACTCTTTACATATTAGTCTAGATTCTATCTTGCTTCGGTTCACAAAACTGAAAATGAGCAATTGGGGGTTTGTTAAAGGCCTGTGTGCTGGTCATTAACAGTATGCGTCTAGAAGCCCTGGTGGGCTCAGTCAAGCATGCCAGACTGGACAGAGGAAGAGCAGAGCCAATTTACTGAGAACACAGATATGTTTAGCCCTGGTATTCCTGCCCACCTCTCAACAGCTCCTAGAGATCCTGGAGAGAACACTCAAGCTCCTTGGGCAACTCTGTAGCCGCCACAGCAGTTGGCCAGTGGCTCCAGGCAACATCAGACTTCCCAGTTTCAGTTTTGTAACTATGCTCGTGGGAGAGTCTCAGCCCAAAACTCACTGACTGTCCCAGAGGCTACTTCCTCATTTGCTGACATCTTAGTTTGGTTGGGCATTCTAAGTTAATAACTATTTAGCTGTGCTGGCTTGGAGAAAGAGAAAACCCCAGAAGGAGAAGTGACTCAGAGACAAAGGTGAGGTCCTAAAAAGGGGTCAGAAAACCCCAGATGACAGGAACAGAATGTGTGTGTCTGATGGCCATGCTTCTAGAAAAAACTATGAAGCATTGTTCTTGGGTCCTGGTTACTCTGCAGCAGGAGTAGCAAAGAGAGTATCCGGGGACTGAAGCCATCAGCCATCAGTCCAACCCAATTTTCTTAAGTAGCCATCCTCTGGGGGACTCTGCACTTCTTCAATCTTCTTCATTCCTGTGACCACCCTCTTCTCCTCCTCCTAAGCCAGTTGCCTGAAGAAGGCAAGCTCTCTTGGTACCATAGGGAATTCTACCTCCCTCATTTCTTATCCACTCCTTCCAGAAAGCTTTGGCCTGTCCAGCAAAGCATTCCCTGGACTTACTGTTGATGTTATTACTCAGTGGGACACCAGATCAGTTAACTGGATTCATGGTAGCGTGTGCAGTGCCTACAGCCTGTGGTGACTCTGAACAGCTGTGGCAGGGTGAGGCTATCCTAATCTTTGTTTTCTCTGCTTGTGCCATGTTCTTGCCCACAGCAATTACTGGTAGCAAACATTTGTAGCTGTTGTAAACAGGAGAATCATTCATCAGTGCCTCTATCTATGTCTACATATGTTCTGGGATGTCTGAGCCAGGGAGGCAGCTGCCAAGCTCTCTTTGTCCTACATAAGCCCATGAGCTTTTCTCGAAGTCTGCAGTCAAGGTATTTACATGTGGGTGGCAGTTTAAATGGTCCAGATTCTGACATCAGAGTCAGTCTGTCTGTGTGCCACTCAAACCCCACAGTCATGATCTTGAATAATTTACCTGGCCCCTTCAAGCCCCAGTGTCTTGACTCTAAAATGGGAGCAGTGGCAATTCCCAACATAGGATCCCTTTGTAGAGTAAGCCTGGGCATAGGAAGCACCTTGGCATCAAGCAGGGCTGTACCTATGCTCATTACACTTCACTGACAAGAACCAAGATGGCCTGTGGACAAACCAAGGAAGAACATTCTGAGGAGGTAGGGGAGGGACAGTGAATAACGGCTTGTGGTAGGCATAGCACCCATGGCATCTAACCGGCAGTACCAACTTCAGAGAAGAGATGACATTCCACTAAGTCTGAAATCTGAGCTAGGGTGTGGTTCGGGAGGGTCTCACAGAGAAATACAACCTCCCCATTGGTGTGAAAACCTCCCTGCTTGGTATACTGCTGACTTAACGCTGAGAGCGATGGTAGGTTAGGCTCGGCAGACCTTGTTCCTGCTTCCACCCAGCACTTCTGGGAGGCATAGTGTCCATCTTTCAGAGGGTAACCCTGAAGACCACTCAGGACATCTGGCCCTAAGGAAATCGTTTAGAAACTGGCATAGACATCAACACTGAATATGTGTTTTCTGATTACTGTGACCTTTGTATGTGACAGTTTGGAATGTCATCTTGAGGGGTGCCCCTGGTATGAGCAGACATCATTCAGAATAATCACGGAACTGTCTTTCCTGGGCTGGAAGTTTGCAAACAGACACAAGTCACATGCGGTTTGATTAAAAACATACCATTAGACAACATTTTCCTTATGTAATTGTCTCATTAATGTACTGATTCCGTATGGTCTTTGTTATCTATGTAACCCCAACTTGGGCCGCTGCAATCCATGTAACTTAATGTGACATAATTTGTGCCCCAGCTGAGTTCTGTGGTTTCTGCTGTTGCTCACCATGAGACTCTGGGGACCAGTGAGGGAAAGGATGAGCTGCCTCACGTGGGGTTGAGAATCCGGGGTCAGAGGCTCAACATCGGGGCACTCCTTACCCTTCAGCTCACTACGTTGAAAGGATGCTTAGCTCTCAACCGCAGAGCTGCTGGAATTCCTGTTCCTTGCTGGTCAGATGTTTCTAGACACTTTGAGGATCTGCTTCCCCCTAGAGTTGGCTCCAAAGCCTTTCTCCTTGTGTATTTGGGGCCTCGGAAGGTGGGGACTTTCTTGTTGTGTGTGGACTTGTATGTCACTGGCATCAAAAGATTAATAGGCACCAAGGGGACTTGGGTCCTTGCCTCCTTAACTGTGACCACAGAGTCGCCTCCCTGTCGGTGTGCTGTCACATGGGTGACTTTTACAGAGCTCTTCCCAGCCTCATCGTCTTGACTATAAATGGGAACAATAACAGTTGTTAGCTCTACAGTTGCTTTGTGTCCTGAACTATGGGTCTAGAAGAACCTTGGCATCAACCCTCGGGTAGACTGATCGGCTAGCCGCTCACACGGCCCTTCTAGGCTTAGCAGAGACAAGCCATCCTTTGGTAAATAGAAGAGTTGCTCTCCTATGGACTGGGGCCTTTGGTACAGTCATTATTGCTTATACATAGGGATGGAGGAGAAGACTCACTATGAGTCTGCTCGAAGCTTTCTCACGCTCCCCTGAGAAGACCTCTACATGGCAGATCTTCCCTTCTCACCAGCACTGAGATAACTCCTTGGTGTGGTGAGAAAGATGTGCTCATAAAGTTACTGAAGAAGGTTTTGTCTATGCTTCTGTGTTTCCGAAAGGCACCAAACTTCCTAACATGGTAGGTGACAGACTGCGAGGGTGTCAGCCAAAGTTGAGTCTTGGCTGAGAAATTCAGATTCATCCTCAGTACCTCATAGGCCGAACACTGTACTCAAAGTGAGAACAACTCTTACCCTTGACTGAATGATCCTCATCCGGTCCTTGCTTCTTCCTTGCAGTAGATATTAACTGCCAGCATATTCAATGCTAACACACACCCACATTTAAGTCGGAGCAAGTGCCTTGAAAGGCACCCATCCTCCCATACACATCTGGGCAGATGGGAGGAATGACCGATGACTTCAGCATCGAAGTGGTCAGCGTTAGGGAGTCCCATTAACGTTTCACTGTGCATCGGGCACTAAGACTATTGCTGCCATGGTAACGGAGGTGCTCCGAGAGGGGTCTTCCTGGCTTACAGAAATGAACTTCAGTGAAATTGGCTCCAGTCTCCTTTCTGAGTTTCTGATGATGTGGTCCTCCAAGGATGCCCGTTTTCCTAGTTTTACAGACCCCTGAACATCCGGATCGTTCTGGTAGGGGTGGAAGTGTGGAACGACATCGACAAATGCTCTATAAGCCAGGACCCATTCACCAGTCTCCACGAATTTCTGGACTGGAGGAAGATAAAGCTTCTACCTCGCAAATCCCACGACAACGCCCAGCTTATCAGGTGAGAGGTACTGTCTTCCTCTACTAAAGGTGCAGTACCAGCTGCATGTACTTTCTGTGGGTGCCCAGAGCCACATCTGTCTACACAGCACACTGGCTCCTCCAAGGGCTTCCTAGTCTGCATCAGGGGTCAAGCCTATATCCCCACCTATGGGCATCACAGACCCATTTGGGAAGTCTCCTGTCCTTCTGCGGGACTCTCATTTCTGGTTCAATTTGGTTTTCCATAACTGAACAATGTCCTCTGTGCTGATTTTTCTGGCCTTAGTCTTTTTATTATTATTATTATTATTATTATTATTATTATTATTATTATTGGCTTTTTGAGGCAGGATTTCTTTATGTAGCTTTGGAGCCTGTCCTGGAACTTGCTCTGTAGACCTGGCTGGCCTCAAACTCTGCCTCTCAAGTACTGGGATTAAAGACATGTGCCACCACCATCCGGCAAAGACTGGTCTTAGTCTTAATAAGATTGCCTCAAAGAGTAATGTATCGTTAATGGAGAAAAACCTGTGTTTTTACCTGATCTGAGAGCAAGGCATATGTGTGAAGATTGTCAGGCACGTGGAGAAACACGAGGGCCTTCCTCCTCTGGGGGAGAAGTTCCCTCTGGCCTTCCATGTTAGGGAGTATCATCCAGGCCTTGTGTTCTTCCTCCAATCAGTATCCACATGGCAGCTGCTAGGACCCAGCTAGGGGATTTGGACACAACAGTGGCCAGTAATAAATGTCTCTCTCTGCTGAGAGAGAGCAGAAGAATAGAAAGCTCTAGAGTAACAGCTAATAGGAGATGTGAAATGAAGCAGGGTGGGGCGGCTGTCCAGCTGCGCATGGTGAGTGGCCCCAGACACCTTCGCATGTAAAAGGAGAGACTGTCCCTATATTAGCCTGAATCCGTAGGAAGCAGATACCTTGAGAAATGGCACGGTAATTTTCTTTTGTTCTTGTGTAATTTAAGTGGAGTCTTCACACACAGTGGTTTCTGTTCTTTGGTCAGTCGGATCTAGCTTGCTGACCAGTTGTGAGGAAGGGATGAGATGGTTCTGCCCTGTGTTCACTTTAGGAAATGCCTCTATCCACTCCCAACCAGTGTCCCCCCATTGTTCATCTGGCCGTTTCAGCGGCACCCCTGTGGATGTGTTTGGTTGCTTCCCATTTTATACACTGACCAATCCTGCTCTGTTAAAAGTCTATCTCATATACTTTGAGTTGGAAAGTTTTCTTTTCATTTTGTTTTGTTTTTCTCTAAAGGAATCTGTCCAAGCTAAACATCTGGAAAGAAATTAACATCTTCTTTGACCTGCTTATTTTCTTGGTTGTATGGTTGTAACCATTCATATGGTCTGCATATACGAACAGCTGTAAATACATGGCTGTGAGTTTGGGTATGTAGTTGGCCCTTTACATCTGAGGATTCCACACCTGTGGATCCAGGCAACCTTAAACCAGACTTGTTCTGAGAAAAGGTTCTACTTTTATGAAGCATGTACAGACCTTTATCCCGGTCCTCCCTGAATAATTCAGTATAATGACTAACAGAGCATTTACATTGCATTAAGGACAAATAATCAAGAGATTAAATTGTATGGCTGCATAGGTTCTTTAGCAAACACAATGCCATTTTATGCAGGAAATTGAGTATCTGTGAGTTATAGTACTCTCGGAGGATTATAATCTAACCCCCATAGATAACAAGGAATGGCTCTAGTACAATAGATAGAGAGATGATGGATAAAAGAAGAAAATAAAGAAAAAGAAAAGAGTAAACTAAAGAAGAAAAAACAGAAACAGAGAAGGAACAATGGTACTTATATACTTGCTACCTCTATCCAATTAGTCACTGTGAAAATATCTAACTTTAATTTTTATTTTATTTTATCTCACATATGAGTGCTTGCCTGCATGTAAGTCTATGCACCGTATGTGCCTGTTGCCCACAGAGGCCAAAAGAAGAAGCTGGATCCCCTAGGACTGGAGTGACTGACAGTTGTGAGCTGTTATCTGGGTTCTGGGAATGGAATCCAGGCCCTTTGGAAGAGCAGCCAGCTCTTAACCATTGAGTCATCTCTCCAGCCTCCTATCTGACTTTTCAAACTCTAACTGCATTGTCTGTGTTGGTATACAGCCAGCATAGCACAACTAAGACACTTGATTATGGGAGTCCAACAAATACAGTGTTAAGGTTTTAATGCATGAACCTGGGATTAATGCACTTGCCTAAAGCAGTCTTTTGGTTTGATTAGATTCATGATCAGGTTGAGATTCTAGATAGGAGAACACCTACGTTGAAGCCACGAAGTTCCCTTCCAGAAACTTCACCTCTGGTGCCAAGGCTTTGTGGGTGATTACTTGCTATCCACTGGCTCTAGAGGAGCGATCACTTTTTTTGCCGATTCAGTCTCAAAAGCCTTATTGGCAGAACACTTTGAAGGATTCCGCGTCTAACGATGATGAGTTACACAGGGAAGCAAACTCCAGCTCCACCAGAAAATCTCCCAAGCTGTCTCCTGTTTCCTTTAGCACACAGTGATCCCCGGTGACTTCTCGGCCTTTCTATCAGCAGGCATTGTTTCAAAGGAACAGCTCCCTACAGCCCATCAGGAAGCAGGCAGGCCGCAACTTACAAACACAAAGTCATGCCTGACCACTGTCTGAGCCTGGACAGCGGAACTCAACAAGAATTATGGGACCATCTTGCAACTGGGAAAGTAAAGTGTAATGCAAAAAGATAAAAGTCCCAAGTCAGGAAATACCCTTCCTGGGGCTGCTTGAGGCAATGAACATTCAATGGCAGACCTGCCTAGCAGCGTTTGAAACGTTGGGAAATGCATCCCTAATGCATGGGATTAAAGACCGTCCTTCCTTGTGTTTTTCAGTGGGGTTTATTTCCAAGGAACCACCATCGGCATGGCACCCATCATGAGCATGTGCACCGCAGAGCAGTCTGGGGGAGTCGTCATGGTAAGCCAACGAGGCCCCGGAAATGCCTTCCCTGTTTAATCCCCCCAGGAAATCCCCACTCTTGTCGGACCTCCTGAAATTAGTTCTTGTCCAGTGACGCTGTCTGAATTTACCTCTGCTCTTACTCCACCCATATTTATGATTTATTTTCCCACACGTGGGGACACAGATGGTATGCAGGGAAGGCAGGAGAAGGACAGTAGCTCCTTCTGTGAGAAACATCTCAAGTGGGACTATTGGTCCAAGTATCTCAATCCGGGAATGTTTCCTGGCATCGGGATGAGTCGGGGCATGGGGGTTGCCCTTCATGCTCAGTTTTGTTTTTTTTTTTTTTTTTGGGTAGACTGTGGTCTCACCAAATGTTGCCGCTCTAGTGATTTTTTGATGGTTCTGCCTCCGTGCCCAGCCGTCAGAAGTTTGAGGTTTTTCACTACGTACCAATGCAAATGCTTTCCATACCTTCTGGCCAGAGTACAATTTGTCTTTATCATAACTTATTCTTGGAAGGCAGAAGCCTAGGTTTATTGCTTTACGGGGATAACTTTGTCATGTATGGGGCTATATGTGTTTGTAAAAGGAAATACAGCGAGAAGCATGTTTGAGATTTCTTATGAGTTTGATGGAAGGAACTTAGACCGTCTGCCCAACGGGAGGCTCCCTCCCACGCTAGCCCCCCCTGAAAGCTCTAAAAGGGATTCTCATACCAGATGGTCCCTTGAGAATCTAGTACTCACCATGGTACAGTCTCTCAGACAGGTAGTTTCCTCAGAGCCTTGTCCTTCCATCTCTATTAAACAAATACACTGTTGCCCTCCCAAGAAGCCGTGACTGTCTCCCCACCCTTCATATAGAGCTGTCTGTGAGCCTTCAATTGTAGCAAAGGGTGGAAACGGTTACATTCTGCTGAGTGTTATTTTCTCTGTATACTGCCTAATCTAATCTTCCTAGTGACGGTACATAAACATTTTTCCTCCCGCCTGGGAGCAGTGGTAGGTCATTTATGCAAGCGTGCACCGCGTGGGAGCGTGCACCGCGTGGGTAGCCTATGTGGAGGGCCTGCACCCACTCGCTGGATTGCTGGCTTGAACCATCCCCTCTCAGGTTTCCTTTGAACATGGAAGCCCTGCTGGTGATCTCCACCATGGAAGTCACTGGAAAGTTTGGGTTTTGCTGGTGCCAGGTTAATTTCGAGTCAGATCGCAGCTATGTTTTCCTAGAACAGACTGTAAAGTTTTAAGAGGGAGTAATTTTCAGTTTCATGGTTCCATGGTTAGTTGCTACTGACTTTGCCACTTAAAACTGGCACAAATACAGTTAGGAGCCAAAATGGAATTCTTCATAAGCAAAGTGGATCCTGCCCTGCATGGGCCTCAAACATCCCGTGTCCCACATGACAGAGTAAAGGACCTGCCAGCTCATATCCCTTGCACTATCTCTATGGAAGCAAGTACTAAGATTCCCTCTTTACAATCATACAGGAAAACCATTCATCTTAAATAGGTGAAAGAAAGATGAGAATAGATGCAGCTTGAGTGTCATGCCGTGAGAATCAAGTCACGACCAAAGTTAGATCAAGGGGACTGAAGAAATAACTCGGCAATAAAGAGTTCACCGTGCAGCCCTTCCAGAGGACCTCGCCTTGCTCTCCAGGACTCGAGTCAGGCAGCTCCTGGCCGCCTGTAACTCCAGCTCCAAAGGACCCAGTACCCTTTCCTGGGCTCCGTGGCTACTACACTCACATGGACAAACCCCCACACAGACACCGTCACATACACACATAATTAAAAATAAATAATTTTTAAAAATTGGCTCCACCAATTGGATGGCAGATAATATTCTCATTACACACACCCTTTTTATCCCCCAGAGAAATATCAGATAGGGTGTGGATACCACCGTGCAGTCGCTTTAACTTCTGTAGGCAACAGAATCCACATCCTGCCCAGACCTAAAACATCTACGCTAGCTTTCCAGTATCCCGCATCCTGAAGTTGGATTCATGCATATTAGCTGTGACCATCCCCAAATGTACAGAAAGTAAGTCATTTACAGAAAGAGAGGAACCCTTAGAGACCTAAAAATAGGACTTCCAAGACCCTTTCCCCATTTTTTCAAGATACAGTCAACTGTTACGTTTAGTAATCTAAAGTCACGTCTTTGTATCTAACTAACATAGACAACAACGACAAAAAGCCCTCTTGATTTGGACATGCCGTCAGACACGCAAAAAGATGTGTTCTTCCTCATTGTAAGCCGGTCTAAAGGGATTACCAGTGATCCTTAAGATAGAGTCGTATAATCACTTAAGCGTGATGTAAAATAGCTTCAACAATTCGAAACAAAGCTGTGACGTTCCACAGAACAGAAAAACCAGCCGCTGAGTACGCTTGAGGAACGAGTTCCTGGAATTTTGTGCCAACATGTGTGCTAACTAAGTCCTGCCCTCCACATGTTCCAGCAGCACCGTGCTCTTCACCAGGGCATGCTATTAAGGATTATTGCCTGATACGTGTCTATGACGCTTCCTACAACAGGAAACTGTGAGATAGAAATGAAGCAATCTATCAGGGATTTCATCTGGTCTAAGAACAGCTTGCTTCCTAGACACGTCTTTGTGTCTTAAACAACAGACCAGTGAGAAAGCCCTGCTCCTGGTGGTGCCCCCAGTGCATACATCAGCACTCACAGAGACACACCTTTACTCAGAGTCCCCATGAAGACTAGAAATAAGAGTTTTTTTCTAAAACACATTATCATACTCTCTTCTGGATATGTTTTGGAAAACCTGTTATCGCTTTTCTGGGTAACGCAAACCAAACTTCAAGCAAGGCACTCATTTATCCGGGGGTCTGAACACCTTTTTCAAGACTCCATCCGCTGGCAGAATTTTGTAAATCACATCTACGAACTAATCAGTCTTAGATTCAGTTAAGTAACTATGTTTTTAGCTGTTTCTAAGTGTCTACTCGAGCCAAGCTGTCCAAGGGTTCCAGTAAGCTGGAAGCGGCCAGCAATGGTAGCCAAAGGTTAATGCGAACCTCGGCGGCTCCATCAGAGAAGGGGAACTTCTCTATGTCCAAGGTCAACTTAAAGGGGTAGCAAGAGTGAGACAACTGAATTATAATCTTAGTTCAGTCAGCTTTCCAGTGAATTATGTTACATGAGCAACTATTATTATGTGTTGTCAAAAACTTGCCCAGAATCTTCCCCTACCAGGCAGAAAGGAACAAAGAGGGTTGAGTCTAGCTGCTCAGGGATGATTTGAAAGCATCTTCCATTCAGCATCCTCTTGATGAAGTAGCCTTTTCTTTCTATCATTAGAAATAACTTTTTGCCCCTCTCAATGGTGTTTATCAGAGGGGAGATCAGCAAAGAATCCTCACATATCCGTGAGACAGCCTTCACCAGGAGAACCCCCAAACGGGCTTAATGAAATAGGCCAACTTACTTCCCATGTTCAGAGTTAATAGCAAAGGCTCTGTACTGAGCCTTATGGGGAATTCAGTTAAACCAAGTGTTAATGATGGGAAAATACCAAGGAACGAGAAGATGGGGGAGACAAGGCCAAGCAGATGTGAACTGTAAATCTGTGCTCTTGTGTTTCCTTCGAGGACCATTCAGACAGCCCCCTTGGCGCTGCCGTGACCTTGGCACATGAGCTGGGCCACAATTTCGGAATGAACCATGACACCCTGGAGAGGGGCTGTAGCTGCAGAATGGCGGCAGACAGAGGAGGCTGCATCATGAACCCTTCCACCGGGTAAGTGCCAGGCTCCAGTGGCCCAGGACTGCCTGGTGCACAGCTTGAATTGTGTGCTGAGAAACATCTTAGAAAAAGAGGAAACACGCCCCCCTCCCCCGCCCAGTTTTCTGACTAAAGAATCTATAGAAGTTTCTCGAAAGAAATTCCTGTGCAGGGAGCAAGAGTAGACTGTGTGTTCTGGTGAGTCATGGGCTGCCAGCTTCAATGCCACATAGCACAAGGGCTGGCCTCTTCCCTGGGATGCGGTGGGGATGGATGCTATTATTTAGAAATCACAAATTATCCTACAATCTCAGCACATGTTTCTGATTTGAGCATTCGGTTTCAGCCGAGATCAGCTGGAGGAGCCAGGCTTCTGAGGGCCTTGAGAATTCACCCTACAGACTGAAATGGGTCATGTATCCTAGACGATCACTTCCTGAAGCATGCTGGGCAGAAGGTGCCTTTTGCCTCTGGTTGGATGGGGGTGAGGGTTGATTAGAGTACCCATGTTGACAGACCCACCTCACCAGACCTCAGGGGGTTGAACGAAATGACTTTCCTGCTTCCAAAGACTGGGTGATTCCATTTCACTCAATGATTTTTCTGCAACCTGAGACTCGGTTCCTCCAGGAAACATGGAAGCTAGTCCCACAATGGAAGCCCTTGAGTAAGGGTGACTCAGATGCTACCTGGTATCTTCTGACAACTCTAAGAGCCTGTCCCAAGCTGGGCAGATCTAGGCAAGCTTAGAAAAGGAGAGCACACTCTGGGCACGGTGCCCTGTCCTTGTCCTAAAACCCAAGACCTTGTAGACACTTCTCCCATGAAGCTTCCCCAGCCAAGTCTCCTGTCTAAGTTTGTTGAATTGTGACAGAAGGGGCCAAAGTGTTGACCCAATGACCCAACAGCTGGGTTCTGGGAAGTGTTGCTGCCAAGGAGAAATCACGCCTTGTGAGAGACTAACTGCCTGTTAGCTTAAGGCCCAGAAGAAGGAAGGATTGTTGAAGAATGTAGTCTCACCTTTGCAGGAAGAGTAAAGGACTGAAGAGTGTGGTCTTGCCTTTGCAAACAGCCCCCAGAGGGGATCCTACCAATGGCTTTTAGGCCACCAATCAAAGGTTGGGCTAAACCACACAGCCCGTACCTAAGCGTTGCAGCCTCATGTGAGCCACTGCCCAGGTGCCTGCCCTTCGCCGCAAGTTACTGCTGCTTCAGGTTACCCTCATGGGCTCTCCAAACCTATAGGACCAACCTCTCATTCCTGGTTCTGCTTTGAACATAATTAAATAGGGTCACATAGGCTTTGTTTAGTGATAAAAGGACCTGACTGAAGGCGAAGAGAGTTTAAAGCCACACTACCGGGGAGCTCTTGGCATGGCCCACCCTTGGCCCACAGGCTACATGTAACCTAAAATAGAGATGAACTTGACTCGACACAAAATTGTATACCCACTTAAAACAAAATGAGGTATCTCTTTTGCAATTTTATTTTTACGACTCAGTTGTGCAGTTCTCAAGCGTGAACTTTCTAGATGACATCATGTCACCATGTCACAATGTCACAAGGCTGAATGTGCCAGCTAGAGACTGCCAAGTGGTAGTCTCTGAAAGGAAGCTTGGCCCCACTGAAACATAACATTCTCTGTATACAAACCCTGAAAGAAGGGAAGAACCAGCTGGGCATTTAGGGCCAGGAGCCACTGCTGAGGGTGTAAGGTTGGTCTGAGGCCTGCATGCACCTCTGTCTCACTATCCCGGGGGCCTGGATAGGGCCAACCTCCCTGGGGAGCGTGTGGAGTGGCTCAAGGTTGAGCTGGTGGGAGCTGGCCTGCAGCAGGGTGGTCTTTGTGTCTTCTCATTCTTGAGGAACTCATTCAGAGGACAGAGCAAATGATCTCCATGCCTCATTCCCCTGATTATCCCATGGACACTGATACATCTACCCACACACCTCCAGGAAGGGTCCCCGCTAACCAACTGCGTTGCCGGCTGACATAGCTCGTGCTTTCTCATTTTTGATCAAAAAATGGAAGAGGACAGTCTAAGTCGAGTCTAGATTGAAGAAACCATGCCATCCCAGTTCTGACCCAATGGCCCAATCAAGGGTTCTCGTGCACACAGGCCGAGAAGCAAACCCCTGGGCCTTTGTGAGCCTTGTTGGCAAAATGTATAGGTCTATCTGTATGTCTCCCCTGCCTCCCAGCCAGCCCGCCACCCACTCATCCTCTTGAATAGGAAGTACTGTGTCGGGAGTGCTCAGCTGAGGAAGACCCTCCAGCCCGAAAGATCACAGGCATTTGCAGGCATGCTTTCTAGCACTCTTGGGGTTTTGTGTGAGGTCTTTCTCGCTGGCAGGTGTCCATGGCTGTGCCGAGTAGTGCAAGCCAAATTACCCTAGAGATATCCGAACACCTCAGGTAGGAATGATATTGTTAAGAACTCAGCAAAACGTTTTGAGGGCTTCCCACCCACACCAGGGACTTGCTAATGGCCTTTATCTGATTTATTCCTTATTAGCAATGTCAGAGTTTTCTCTTTCGCTGAGCTTGTGTTTTTGTGTAAATCTTTTTCTGTTTGGTTCTCCGTTATGATCCCACATCCCTGTCCAGAGAGTGGTGTTTTTAATTTTCTCAGATGGAAAGCAACTTCCTAAGCAAGTGGGTGAATTAATCACAAAAGCCCAGAGTGAGGGGAAAGCCAAGGAGCCCAGACAATCCCCTATCATCCATCACCTATGGTGGAATTTCCCAGGCTGCTCCAGCATTATCTCATAGTGGTGGTTCCCTTGCCTCATGGGGTCCCTGGGAGAGGAGGGGAAGTGGGTTAAATGAGATCATTTGCCTCTGTAAACTATAAATCACCCCCAAAGACAAAGGAGTATGGGTGTCATTTCGTTCACAGGGACAGCAAGCACAGAAGTTGGACCTTTTTCAGAATTCCCACTGAGCTGTAGGAAGGACTTCTGGGTTTAAACCTATTCAAACACCACCCTTTCTCTAATTTCTTCCACTCTGCTGACTGACCCATGGATGACTAGTATCAGAAATGCTGGTTATTTGAAGTCTGAACCTGAAGGGCACTCAGAAAGAGATAGATTAATGGGCAGATTTGATAATAAGAGCTCAGAATCAAAAAGACATAAATACCAGAAATGGACTAAAGTGTGTGTCCTGTAGAGTCCCTGGTTTTCCCCTCACACAGCATGCCTGTACCCTAACTCTAAAATCATGGCCCAACCCTCAACCCTGACATGTGGGACTGGGAGTCTTGCAAACACAAGCATAGAACAGGGTCCTGTACAAACCAGGGCGCCTGATTTCCTTGCGCGGCAGCACTAGCTGGGGGGAGTTTCCCTGTGGCTTGTCTCATTAATTACTGGGAGCCCGTGAGTGCCTTGTGTTTTATGTCTTTGGAGACTGAGCATATAAGACCTGCCTTGGAAATTACTCTTTGTATGTGAAGTCTGGGGGTGGGGGTTGTGTAGGAGTTAAATTCAGCAGCATCCATCCATTAAGATGTTCCTTGCAGCTCTTGGTCTTCCTGGGTTGAGTGTGCTGCATTCATAGGAATAAGGATATTGGAGTGGCAAGAACACATTGGGAGTTAACATGATAGTAAATATAACTTGCTACAGTAGAATGTTAAGATTTATGTTCAACCTGATAGAAGAGAAAGTGGGAAGTACTCTACAGCACATGGGCACAGGAGACCACTTCCTATGTATAACCCCAGCAGCACAGACACTAAGGGCATCATTGAATAAATGGGACTTCCTGAGGCTGAGAAGCTTCTGTAAAGCAAAGGACACCGTCACTAAGACAAAAAGACAACCCACTGACTGGGAGAAGATCTTCACCAACCCTGCAACTGACAAAGGTTTGATCTCCAAAATATATAAAGAACTCAAGAAACTAGACCGTAAAAGGCTAATCAACCCAATTATAAAATGGGGCACTGATCTGAACAGAGAATTCTCAACAGAAGAACTTCAAATGGCCAAAAGACACTTAAGGTCATGCTCAACTTCCTTAGCGATCAGGGAAATGCAAATCAAGACAACTTTAAGATACCACCTTACACCTGTCAGAATGGCTAAAATCAAAAACACCAATGATAGCCTTTGCTGGAGAGGTTGTGGAGAAAGGGGTACACTCACCCATTGCTGGTGGGAATGCAAACTTGTGCAACCACTCTGGAAAGCAGTGTTTCGGTTTCTCAGGAAATTCGGGATCAACCTACCCCTGGACCCAGCAATACCACTCTTGGGAATATACCCAAGAGAGGCCCTATCATACAACAAAAGTATATGCTCAACTATGTTCATGGCAGCATTGTTTGTAATAGCCAGAACCTGGAAACAACCTAGATGCCCTTCAACGGAAGAATGGATGAAGAAAGTATGGAATATATACATATTAGAGTATTACTCAGCAGTAAAAAACAAGGACTTCTTGAATTTTGCATACAAATGGATGGAAATAGAAAACACTATCCTGAGTGAGGTAAGCCAGACCCAAAAAGAGGAACATGGGATGTACTCACTCATATTTGGTTTCTAGCCATAAATAAAGGACATTGAGCCTATAATTCATGTTCCTAGAGAAGCTAAATAAGGTGAATCCAAAGACAAACACATAGGCATCCTCAGGAATATTAACCTTCATCAGGCGATGAAAGGAGACAGAGACAGAGACCCACACGGGAGCACCGGACAGAAATCTCAAGGTCCAAATCAGGAGCAGAAGGAGACGGAGCACGAGCAAGGAACTCAGGACCACGAGGGGTGCACCCACACACTAAGACAATGGGGATGTTCTATTGGGATCTCACCAAGGCCAGCTGGCCTAGGTCTGAAAAAGCATGGGATAAATCCAGACTAGCTGAACATAGCGGACAATGAGGAATACTGAGAACTCAAGAACAATTGCGGTGGGTTTTTGATCCTACTGCACGTACTGGCTTTGTGGGAGCCTAGGCAGTTTGAATGCTCACCTTAGGAGACCTGGATAGAGGTG